GCAACCCTCGGTGTTGCTCCCACACCTCGCTCAGCCAGTGAGCGGCCAGTCTGTATGTGGGATCCGAACCCTCGGCGGGAGCGCCACCGCGCTTCCCAAGCGGCGCACTGTAGCAGTGCGCCACCGGGCCGGCCCAAATTACCATAACTTTTTACCACAATAGTCCCAACCCATTTTTAATAGGTCTGGGCAGAACAGCAGCTTACAGGGGAAAGTAATGCTGCTTAGTTCCCTTATGTTGGGCAAACTCAACAAAGCTTAGAACCCCTAGCCACATTCAGAAGTAAACTGTTAATCTGTGTAGTCTTTTGGTCAGATATAATTTCTTCAAGGTCATGCATGGTAAATTCTTTAATTGGGATATGTCTCTAAAGAAAACCTAACAGTCAGGCAGCATATAGTCACATATCCTTAGTGTATCACTATGGGATGACATTATTTATATTGCCTTTGTCTATAGGGACCTCCTAAAACTCTGATTTTATGAACCAGGCTGATTGACACAATATCTCTCCATTAACATTTCTTCTAAAGAGGAACAAAGGTAACAATGCAGTCTCAAGTCTTTCAGTATCACAGTCATGCTTATAGCCATTCTGCTCCTCTACACAGATTAGAGTCACTATTACCAGCAACTAGAAACAGCCCCAGACTCCAGGAGAGTGTTAATTCAGCCATGCTCCTGCCTGCACGCTGCACACTAGTGAAAGAGGCAAAACCATTAGCCATGTCTCTGTTGTATTCCCACAGAAGAAGAAAATAGATGACAAGGAGGTAAACAAGCCATACAAATACAACCAATCACAAGATGGCAATAGTTAGACAGGAGAAAGTGAAGAAATGTCCACACCTACCACCAGAGACAGAGAACACCTAATGTGAAGTGAAGTCACATCTATGTCTTCTATGTCTTCTACATGTGTAATAACCACCCAAGAAGAACACCGAGTGAGACATAGCGGTACTGAATGTGAGGAAAAGAATGGCAGTTAAGAGGAAAAGCTTTGGATTCAGAGACTTACAGGCAAATCCTAGATCTGCCACTTCCCTATGTGAGCTTGAGCAAGTGAGCTCCCTTTGCCTCAGCCTCCCCATGTATAAAATGGTGATAGAAACTACTACATTGTAGAATTATTGAGGACCAGATTAAATAATCCAAAGTTAAAAAGTGTCTGGCACATAGTAAATTACCAATAAATAGTAGTTGTGTTATTGAAACTAAGATATAAATAGCACTGGGTCCATTCAAATGATGGACTAAACCACAAACTATGCCCAAGGTTTCTACCACATATAATTTGAAAACATTTCAAACCCTAAAGCACAAAGACGGCAAATGACAGCCCACCATTTCATCTTGGGAGTCCACAATGTCTTCTCAAAGCTCAAGATTCAGTGAGGGCAGTAAGGACAACCAGGACACGATCACTGCAGCGGCAGCGCCGCTCCATAGACCGGGCATTGGAGACGCTTGCACTGAAAAGGCGAGGCCAAGCCTCGGGGCCCTGTGGACACCTGCGGGACCCACCTGTGTATGGCAGCATACAATGGCAAGTGTAGCCACTGATGTCATCAAAGCAGGTTCCTTGGTTCAGGCATGGATTTGAAGCACATTCATCAATATTCACCTGGCAGTTGTGCCCTGTAGACAGAAAGGGGGAAAACCCAAACACAGAGTGAAAACTTCTGTCAGCTTCCTTATTATCTCAATTACTAACAAATTCTCTTGCTGGCGAAAATTAAACATCTCAGAAGTTGCATTCATTTCTTCAGGCCACTGGAACACCTGTTCATTCTTTTCAGCCACAGGTCCCTGAAAGTCAGTAAATGGTCAATCAGTCAAGAAGACGAATGCAAAAACAATCTATTGTAATGGTCTGAAAGCCTAATGCTCTTCCAAATACCAGTGACTTCTCAATAATGGACTGAGAAGTTCAAAAGCCTGTTGGTTCATTTAAACATGTCCTTTGTATACAAAGTTCCTAGTAGGGAAAAGGAATAATGTCTTTGAATACATTAATCGAAGCCTCTTGTTTATGCCCGCTCTTCATTTGCACAGTCTCTACCATCAATCTGGTACTTCCTGAAGTCACAAAGCTGTTTTCTCCTGAATCAAGGCATGAAATCTACTCCCACTAAGAGAAGGAGAAAACTAATGAAGGACTAGTGGGAATAGGATAGTACCCAAACACTGCACACATTTTCATCTTCAATAGGGCCTGGCACAGAGCCTTAAAGTAGAGAAACTATAGCACTGTGAAAAAGAAAATGATGGTGTAGGAGCATAGAAGTCTGGGTTCAAATTGTACTCCGCCACTCACTCACTGGGCATACAGCTTTGGATTTTATTTTTTATTTTGCTTATTGATAAGCAAGTCTCAATGAGATAAAGAAATAAAAGTGCTTTTAAATCTACAAGTAATGCAATATATCAGAAAATTAATGACTAAAATATGGTCTCCAAAAATTTTCAAGTAATCAAATAAAGTGGCTCTAAAACATACTGATGTATCTCAATAGCCTGGCACAATCTTTGAGTGGCTAAATGAATAAGTGAATAGATGAGTGCAAATGATTTACCCTTACATTTGTCTCCTGTGTGTTTCAATGGTAGAAATACAAGTGACAACTCAAAAAAATATTTTACACAATTCCCACTACAATGCATTTTTCCAGAAGACCACAGGTGACTAAGTATCTTAAGAATATCTCCATGAGTAAAAGTGTTTGTTGGAAGGGTTCTGAACACATGGATTCTTCCGTATTATTGCTATCATAACTACAGTAAGCACAATATTTTCATTCTACTTCCATATATCTATTTAAATTGTCATAGAATCAAACCTGGACCAAGAAGCTTACAATTAGAAACTTGTCCAAAGCTGTTTACGTGGAGTCTTAACTGTTCATCTTAAATATTACCTTTTCAGTACCTCACCTCTCTGCTACACTGAAGGTAGAAATTATACCTACTCATGGTTTTATTCCTCAAGTGTCTTATAAATACTAATTGCTCGAAATGTTTGCTATATGAATGAACCAAAAACAGAAAGGGAAACAAAGAAGTGAGTCAAGCAATATGCAACAGGATGACAAAGAACAGATAGAAAGCTGTACTTATGTTTTTACCTTTAAAGCCCTTCTTGCAAGTACACCTGTATCCATTCACCAGATTGTCACAAGTTCCTCCATTCTGGCATGGGTTGGAAAGACATTCATTTTTGTCCAGTTCACAGTTGATGCCAACCCAGCCTGCATCACAGAGGCACTTATATCTGAAAGAAGACAGAATTATTGACTGTGGGAGGTACGAGTATACGACTGAGTCATAGAGCGAAATACAGGAGTTGGTGACAAAATGAGGGGACAGAGGAGCTCATAGGTAAGCTAATCTCATTTCTACTCTTCTGTGGACCCATACTTCAATCACCTTGCACAAGGCATGAATCATGTGGGTTCAGCTTGGTGCTTCTCTGGCTTCACCAAGAAGCTAGTAAAATTAATTAATTACAATGAAATTTCATATGTAAACAATGATTTATACAATATATTGGGCCAATCTGAAGGAAACAATAACATGGATAAATCTGCACACTTATTTTATTATACATAAAACTAAAGTAAAGGAAACCTTAGGATATCACTTGTTTCTGGTGCAGAATAAAGACCTAGAAAACAGGTCACCATCAGGGATTCTAAGCCACTCTGCATAGCTCCTAGGATATCTTACACTTGAGTCATGCTTTGTTCTGACCTGAAACCCTGCCTCACAAAGCACCTATGATACTGAGCAGGAAAAGGCACAAGAATGAAAGTATTTGAAATATACACATAATCCCCAATTTGAATATCATTAGCACTTAGACTCTGCTAATCAGGAGATGATGGTCTCCTCATGTGGAGATCTTTAAGAAAAATGTAGATGGGTAGTGATGCTTTGAAGGCTGCCATACTCTGAAAAAGTTCATTTTGAAAATAACTTTATTTCCCATTTATCTCTAACACTCTTCATTCTTTCACCTGTTAGAAGTTTGGCAAACGGCAATGCCCAAAGCTCTGTCCATGGCAAGCCCAGCAAAAGAATAAGAGCATCTCACAGGATCTAAGGTCGCATTCTGTGATTCTAGAAAATTACCAACACATCACATAACTCTGAGGGGCTTGCAAACTGAAAATGTTGTATCAAGACCACGTCTAAAGTTGGTTGAATCAGCTCTACTTCAGAGTACACACAGGTACTGTGACAGAAGAGAGCTGAGCTACGTTTAAGCAGGGGAAAAACCCAAAGATTAGAACATCCCTCAGAACTCAATCCTAAAATAAGCACTAAAAACACAATTGCCAAGACATAAAATAAGCCTGGACTTCTCCCATGAGGTCTTTGCTGATTACCTATGTAAGGGAGATATTCCTCCTTATTTTCACCTAAGTCTTCAGTCATTTGAAGGTAGGGTCCAGTTTCCATGGATGAAGTGGTGATTCAGAAGGCTTTGATGTAGACTACCAAAATCTTCAGCCAAGCCTCAGCTCAAGTCCTCAGCTGACTTCAGGCTAGTGCAAGTACCAAACACCAACTGACGTGACAATAGGTCAATAAGAAACTATTCACACATGGCAGCTACTCACCCACTGAGGCCCCCGGTACAGTTTCCGTGGATGCAGGGATTGCTCAGGCACTCATTCACCTGGGAGTAGCAGCTGGGGTGATGGGGCCCCTCAGGGCAGATACAACGGAAACCATTCACATCATTGATGCAAGTTGCTCCTTTGCGACAGGGATTGGAGGCACATTCATCAATGTCAATGTTACATCTCTGCCCTGTAAAGAAGGGAGATAGCGTTACTCACATCCCAAATGCCTAGGGAACAGACCCAGAACTATGAGACATATTATGTTGACACACTTCATTTACACAGGCTATAAGGTGCCTTGGGGCATCAAATGTCAAGATTTAACAAATAAGACATCCAATAGCACTTAATGCACTGCACTGAAGGAGTAAATAGCATTACCTTTTGCTAATGAAGTTAACAAAACACTGTAGAGTGTTGTATTTTGACATGTATTTCTTTTTCCTTCTACCTTAGAAATGGAGAAACTTCACAAGGTTTTAAAAAGAGAGGGTCAAATGTTAACAAAGATGGTTACCCCTCTTAATACTCTTCTGAAATACACAAAGAAGTCTTCCTTAAAATGCTACTGCTGGTTTTCCACATTCATTTATTCAGTTAGTCAACCTCTTACATTTCTATGGTAAACTGCAATTAATTAGGAGGCTTAATGAATGGACTATTAAGTTAATGATTAAGTTAATTAAAAAGAAAAGCCATTTTGTTCTCATTCTTAGAGCTGTATTAACCCATATTTTCCCTCAAGAAGAAGAGTCTCTAAGCATAATTTTATCATCCGCTGATATGTGAGAAAACAATTCAGGGTCTCTCAGTCTACAGACCAGTGGTTCTGAAAATTTAATGCGCAAAATAGTCACTTCAAGTACTTTTTAAAATAGAGATTCCCAGGTCCCATCACCATAGATTGTGATGGTGGGGTCCAGAAAACCACATTTTCAAAATTTAAAAACACTAGATTTTGAGAAATTCTGTTCTAGACAATTATCATTTAACATCATCTCACAGTGTAGATGCTAGAAGTATATGAAATTGAAGAGAATATGTTCTTCCTCTTAGACATGCCCAGGACTCAATAAAGTAACATAGGGTAGTTATATGTGTTTTAACTCATTAAGTTTTGAATAATTGAGATCTAACTATATATTCCAAAATACTATGAAATTTAAAAATTACCCATAATCCTGTAGAGGAGTGGTACCAAGCAACTGCTATAAAGAAATTCATAAATTTCAAAGAATACAATGATCTGATTCAGATGAAAAACATGCATTTTCATTTAAAAAAGAGCAACCCTGCATTTAGAACAGGGCATTGCAAATGAAATAGATACACACCCCTTTAAAATATGGGTATTACCATTTTTTCACCCTCCATTGCTCTCTGAACCATTATTGGCGATTCTTCTGGTAAAGACCCATAATCTGGAAGTGGCTGCTGTTTTCTTTTCCTCTTAGGTGTTTTATTAATAACTTATTTTAAAATACTATTTCCTTGGCCTCAACCACTGATTCTTTGACATGTTTGCCACAGGCACCAGGATATGAACAGAGCTCTAAAACCACAGTGCTATCCTCAGCCTGCAATCAACCCAGGGAGCATAAGAGGACAAAGCCTTTTTATTTTTGGTCTTTTTTGCAAGCATCTCCTCAAAAGCTACTCCTCCCAAGTTTTCTTCGTTGGCTTTTAACTCTTTCAGAATAGATTTTCAAGCCATCTTTATCTGAGAGTGTTTAGTGCCTCCTTGTGCAGTTTACTGTGTGGATGGACAGCTGCTTCACCAGCAGGGTCCGACCCTCAGGGAGTTTCCACCAGACACCAGGTATTTCTAGTGCAAGGCCATGTACCTTGTTAGGCTTAGTAACTAGTGAAATGAGATGTTGCCCAATGTTTCCTACCCTATAGGTACTCAATAAATTGGTGTTTAATGAATGAAATCATGCTATAGTCCAAACTCTAGACTCTGTAGTTGGATAGCAAAAGTGCTGTATTTAAGTTCCATTCATCCAATCATCCATGCAGTACATTTACTGATTATTTCCTTGGTGTCAGACACTGCTTTAGACACTTGCTAAAAAGATGGTTAAGGGAGGTTCCTGCCTTCTGGGAACTCAGTCTTCTCTATGTGATTCACTAGCTGGGGCCATGGGCATATCAAGCTCTATCTCTCAGTAGCCTTATTTGTTAGATGAGGACAGTAGAACTTCCTTTCTGGATCGTTATGAGCATTCAGGAAAACAATGGATATGAAGATGCTTTATAAAACTGAAAAGTAGTTTAAATTACTTACCCCCATTCAATCAAAAAGTACGAAAGAGGTCCTAGGAGAACTTAGTCTTAAACAAAAAACAAAAAACCTCCTTCAAATTAGTCAAAGTTGTTATTAAAATGATACGAGAAAAAGTATTAAAATAAAACAGCGGGAAGAATAAAACACCTCACATTTACTTCTCTTGAGTATATAATACCACAGGCGTCTCTGATATTTTCAGCAGCTAATTAAAAAAAAAAAAAACACTCTCAAACACAGAAAACAGTTCCAAGAACAGGGTACCACCCAGTAACCAAAACATTTCATTTCTTGGTTATTTAGTTTCATGCTACACCTTAAGTTTATTTTAGAATATTTTTAGCCTATGTTCCACCTCCTTGACCTTCCTGGTTTTGTTGAATGTTAAAAAGAGAAGGATTATGATTCACTGGCATTTAAAAAAAAGAAAAAAAAGTCTAGCAGAAGCCTTACATAAATCCACAAAGAAACCACACCCGGCACCTACTTCGGCTGTCCAGGGTAGTGGGAATGAGCATGGGCTCTGAGGTCAACTGCCTGGGGAAGGACCTGGCTGCAGTGCGCTGGGAACACCTCTTAACCTCCCTAGGCTTTGGGTTTCTCATCAATACCACAGAAACAATAATAGCAGAGGCCATTAAGTGAGATGAGGCACTTTAGAGCCTAGCTCAAAAAAAGTCCTTAATAAATGTTAGCTATTCTCTTCGTACTACCCATTTAACAACAATGTGCCTAAATTCCTGTCTAGCAGGGATTCTTGTGTATTAACTTGACTGCCACTTGATCTTGGAGTAACAAGTTTCAGGATACAGAAGTACATCAGGCTACCGCAGCAGTGCTGGGCAAGGGGCATGTTTCCATCATACCTGGCTTCTCAGTGATCTTCCACTGCACAGGGGTCACTGTGACCCATCTGGACCACAAACATTCCTCTCCAGTGTCCACAATCATGTCAAGCAGCAGAAAAATGCTTATGAAACAGAGCAACGTAAGTTCCTGGCAAGTGAATGGCTGACGTTCACTTCAATTGGCTCTGGCTGCCTTTTGACAGGCTCTGTTCAAAGCTCTGAAGGGCGTTTCTCACACAGGGTGCAAATGACTGCATGCTAATTATTAATGATAATATTACATTCCTGCCTGTTTGTGTGTGCACTATCCAGAAAGAGAATACACAGTGTATGAGCTCTGATGGGGCCATGAACAAATGTGTCAGGGAAGGGCTCCAGGTTTTCTCAGTAACCTCCAGCCCTTTCTGATCAGGAGAGTAAAGATAAAGCTAATATTAGCAAATAAAGACAGAAGAGAAAATATGTGGGGTGTGTGCATTCGTGTGTGTGTAAATGCTCTAGCTATTTATACTTTAGGAAAAGTCATATTTAAAACTATTCTAGCCATGTACTTTCTTCCTCCTGGGCAGAAAGATTTCATTCCTGATAGCCAAATTAGAGTTGCACTCCCAAGTTCTGGCCTCATCCAACAATCTTACAGAAGAGGAAGTACCCAGAAACAACATTTAGTGTTTTCATAGAAGTTTACCTTGAGTATGGCTTTACAGAAGGCAACGACGACTACCTGTAGAAAAACTAAGGTGGCTTTGGAAGCAACTTAACTCAAGCACAGTGACGAAAACTTAAAGTCCATCTAGGAATTCTTTTCAGGTAGCAATGAACACATGATCTAAAAACCCTAATGAATGAAATGTGTCATGTTTCAATTTATGAAAAGCCTATAAGACTTTCTAGAGAAGCACAGAAATAGACTTCTAACCCTCCAAAAGAGATAAAGAAATAGGACACATTTGAATATAAATTTTCTCTGAGGTGCCATTTTCCAAACTCATGGGGCTGAAGGAGAGGGGTCTCCCGATAAAAGGAGCATTACCTGTGAATCCTGGTGAGCAGACGCAACTGTAGCGATTAATGCCATCCATACAGACTCCATGGACACAAGGGTTATTGGCACAGTCATCAAAATTAATCTCACAATTAACTCCTGCCAAGAGAACACCAAAGAGAAACCATTCAACATTTACTAAGACTTGTGATGCTTGTGATGCTGTATGTTAAGAAACTTAAGGAGATCCAGCCAAGCCTGAGCAGAATAAAGCAGCAGTTCTCAAAGTGCAATCCACAGACTCAGGGTCTTACTAAACAAATTTAGCCATTATTTGTCTTTTTCACTGTGTTGACATTCACATTGATGGTGCAAAAGCAGCAATGGAGGTAAAGCTACTGGCATCTCACCAGGAATCAAAGCAGTGGCACCAACCTGTACTAGCAGTCATTCTCATCTTCACATGCACATGCTCACAGTTAAAACAAACAAAAATGCCAGTATAACTTAAGACTGACTTTGGTGAAGAAGTTTAAAGTTATTAACGTTTTAATTGTATTAAATCTCAAACCTCAAGAACACATCTACCATTCTGTGTGATGAAATGGGAAGGACACATAAAGAACTATGGTCTGCCAAGGTTAAGAGCTGTCTCCAGGAAAAGGAGTTGTGTGGCTGTTTGAGTTGTGAGCTGAAATAGCTGCTTTCTTCATGGACCCCCATTTTAATTCCAAGAACAACTGACAGACAAACCAGGGTAACCAGACTTGAATATTTAGCAAATATTACGTGAAAGGAGTAAACCTGTTATTTCAAAAAGAACAACTGACAGTATTTTATGCCAAAGATATAATTTGAGCTTTCAAATCAAAATTAGAGTTTTGGAACTTGTACCCATCACTGTAAGCTTGACACTGACTGTCAGCATTATGGGCTAAAGTTCAGGATATATCTTAAAGAGTCTGGTAACTTCCTCCTGAGGTATGCTGCCTTACTCCTGGTCCATTCCCCAGATGGATGGAAGAGTCTGTCTATGCTAACACAGGCTCAGTTATAGACATAGATAACTAAACAGTACAGATATATTAACTATAAATCATTATTACTTTGTAAAAATACTCATGATATTTCACTATTTATTTTATATTACTGATGCTTTCTGAGTATCACAGAAGAATATTTGGTAGTTTAAAAAGCCTAAAAATAAAACTTGGTAATAAGGAAATGAACAAAACATCCAGGACAAAATGTAATACTTTTGATTCACTCACACTTAATGTATTAATATTTACTAACGATAATTATGACATGAAAAACTTATTGTACCATATTATGTGCAAAGCACTCTGCCTTGCACTTCACATAGGTTTTTCTCTAAGCCCCTCACCCAACCTAAAAATCTAGCTGTGTTCACCCATTTTACAGATGGCATAGCTGACTTGCACAGTGCCACAGGTAGGGCAGGACAACTGAGATCTGCAACCTGTCTCTCTGGCTCCACAGCTCTGTATTCTTCCCACCATGCCATACTGTCTTGCTGTGACGGATGAGGTCATCCTGCCTCACTAGCCATAAATGAGGAAAGAATTTACATATCTCTTGTATACAAGTGGACACCTATAGGAGATGCTTCTAGCCCTTGATTAACAACCCTCTTTTACCCAAAATACACGTAGGCAGCCCCACCCATGAAGCCCTGGTAATCCCATGTGACTTCAGCCCCATGTCCTTGACTTATTTAAGCAGGAACAGACACTTGAATCCAAGTGGGCTAATAATGCTGAAATTTGAATTGTGTAACCTCTGGTGTGCAAATTGCCCTGCTTCCTGCTGTTCTCTCCAATGCCTTCTTATTCAGTTCTTGTTTGAAATCTGTAAGATGCTTCTGTGTGCTTTTGCTAATTCTCCTTGCTTGTTTTGTTGTTTGCTTGTTTTAAATGATTCTTTAAGCTACCTCAAGTTGGCTTCTGTTACTTGAAACCACAAGAAACTTAAAACTGTTCACCATCATAAAAGCACAGATGATAGAAAGCACTGAAAGACATTCTGGGTAGTACTAGAATACTTCAAAAAGTTGATGGAAAAATGGAATTAAAAGAGAATACAAATATTTCTGTGAATTTTTTTTGAAGTACCCTCATATATCTCCCTTTAAGTACCCAGTGAGTGAATACCACAACTTTAACTAGCAAACTGTAAAGTATCCCTTCCATCCACACCCCCAGCCAAACACCAAACTTAGACCATATGATAAACGGATCAGGGATTCTTACTCTAAATCTTGAGAGTCTATTCATAATGCCTCATTTAATGGACGTTCCACCCAGGTCCCTGGTACATGCCAGCTCTTTCTCCACCCATTACAGACCAACATTTCTTTATGTTGCCTACATCTCTTTGCTTTAACTCTTCAAACAGCTAGAGAAATGGATTTTCAGAGATTCAGGTTTCTCAGAGATTCTGGGCCTTCCTTTCCATGCTGCCTGAAGACCACTCATATTTATTCTCGCCTTCCTCAGTGAGAGCTACTTATACCTTGTCATCTCCATCCTCTCCAGAAAACACACCTTATACACCCTGGCATAATATTATAATCCCAGAGAAAACAAAGCGCTTGCCAACCCACACTCACTCATGTTTCCGGTATGTTTGTTATAATGGGAATGATAGCAAAGCCTAAAACAGCCCCTCCATTCTAAAGGCATCCATTCAATTACTTGTAAATCTCTCAAATTTCTTTTCCTACTGCAATTTCTCATGTCTGGGGACCAGCCCGGAAGCAAATTGCTTTTGGAAGTTTTCACAAAGATCTATTCAGCCCTTTCAGTGAGTTATCTAAACGTGGGGAGGGGGAAGGCATTTTCAGCTGTGAAGGCATGGGATGTTTTTCATATGCTTGAGCAATTCAAAAAGCACTTTGTTTTCAAACTTGGCATATATGAGACCCTGGATGAAAACCAGGGCCTTTGACAAATTTGAAGAAATAGATTTGGAAGTAACAAAATAAAATGAGGGCAGTTAACCACCTCCCCTACCTCTGCCCCCTACATAGGCCATTTTCCTGAAGTCCACAATTGAGTTTTCCATAAATCAATCCTTTATATTGGCAGGTTCCCTTCTAACAAAGGCACACATTGGTTAATCTTCCACTAATATATTTTCCTTTGATCTGGGACGTAGTATTTCTCTGTCCATCAACCACAGTCGTGACCATAATCATTCATTTAGTAAGTAAAATACAATAGAGTGAAACCTATGAAATGCTGCTGCCTGAGAAAATCATTCAAAATCTCCCCAACAAGGAGCAGCATGCCCTCACAACTAATAAGCAGTCATTCAATCAAGGTCAGAGAACAGCAATGAACTCTGTGGATGGGAAATGGCAGCTTCACATTCTACTTTATAATTACTGTGATGTGCTGCAAAGTATCTCCTCTCCCTCAGAATCCCCCAAAATGCCTAATGCCCCACCAGAGACAAGTGGCAGAAGAAAAATGTCACATAAAAGACTGAACTGTGAAAGAGAAAAGAGACTATTGGAAAGAAGGAAAGAAGGAAGGATGGAAGGAATTAATTCATTGATCTGAGTTGGGTGAGGCTTGAAGAAAAAGAGAAATAAATCAAGCCACAAAGACAAGAGAGTTTTCAATTAAAAGATATAATTTTAATTTCTGAAGTGGTATGCCTCCATTTAATCAAAAATCCATGCACACAAAATCATCAGATTGGTAAAGCCATTGCCTTTAATCACTCTACTGGTTAGAGCCATCTGCCTTTAAGTTATTTATGTTTGTGGCTTTGGCTGTGCTTCTCAGAATCAGGATTAGTTTTTAGGTACCTGAACATATGCCAAGAAAGTCTGAGATCTGTGTAAGGTGTCCTTCAGAAATAGTGATAAACTCATCCAAACATAAACAGAGTGGGCTCACCTGACGTGCCCAGCTGGCAGTTGCACTGGTAGCCATTGACCAGGTCGATGCACCGACCATCATTCAGGCAAGGGCTGCTGTAGCACTCATCAACCTGGTCACTGCAGATGGCACCCATGTAGCCAGGATTGCAGATGCAAGTATAGGAGTCGATGCCATCCTGGCACTGACCATGGTGGCAAGGATCAGGGTCACAGTTGTCAATGTTCTCCTCACACAGCACACCAGTGAAGCCTTCGGAAAGAATTACACCAAGGAGTCTTAAAAACCAAGGTAGATACTCCATACCTGAACACAAGTGTAACTATATCCATTTACCTGCATACCCCATGTATGAAACATTTAATACTGCTGGCCTTTTTTTTTTAATTAAAACATAATTGATTGTATATATCTGTGGGGTACAAGATTGAATATCATTACCTGTGTACAATATGTGATGCTCAAATCAGGAAAATTAGCATATTCAACATTACACAACGTAATCATTTTCTGTGGCCCTTTACCAATTTCTTGCTAACCCTCCTTCATGCTCCCCCTTCCTCGCTTCTGGTGGCCTTAGTTATTCTCTCCTTTTGAAAGTTCAACAAATTATTGTGATTGCTGTATCGCTCTTTCTTTTTATCTTTTTTATTTTTTTAGCTCCAAAACTATTTGCACTGATTTAGAAAGCAAGTCAGGAGAGTTGTGCTTAAAATAAAGATTTCCTAATCAAATTGGTAGAATTGAAACGCCTTTGTGACTGATGACAGTTTCTCTGTACAGGCACTTTAACTGCATCTTCACCACTTACTGAGCTTCAGTGGGAAATGTTTTTACACTATATGTTTAAGTGTGTATTCCTTTCCTCCAAAACCTAACATACAGGTATTGTATTAATGGTTTTCATGTATCTTATCTTCCCAATTCTGACTGTGGAAGACAGAGAACTTTTCTTCATTCCTTTCAATCCCTCCCAGAGCATTATGCATATGTAGTATGCTTAAAATAAATACTCATTAAATAAAATGAATGAACCATTTATGAGCATTTGAAAGAAAAAGGGACAATAAGAGTTCCTTCCTTCAAGGCTTAAACAGACCAACATTAAACCTTCCCCTACAAGGCTCCAGTAGGCCTCACCTCCCTTTTAAATATGAGTTCATTGATTTAATCATTCTCCAGTGAAGGCTATCCTCCACAAGAAGAATTTGGCCAAGGGAAGACAAAACCTAGAACTTCTCCAATGAGAGAAAACAGCTTGTAAAAAGAAAGGGGAGTTACGTAGTTCATTTGAACTGGCCTAAACTAAGTAGGTCCAATAATGGAAATATTGACTTTCTGCATTGACTTTTGTGACTAAGTTTGCTTTTCTGTGATCAGAAAGAAATCATATACATAAGGCCTAAAATCCTTTAAGACTACATTTTCTAAAATAAGATAATGTCTTAAAGTATATTCATAACTTCTTTCTCAAGCAGTCAGATAATAAAGATGTTCACCTTTTATAACACTTTCAAGCCCTTCCCTACAATATTGGTTTGTACAGAAGCAAATGTGCAATAGGCGATGTTTGGCTTATTAAAATCCATTCCCAAGTGGGAAATGTGATTATAAACCCAGAATAGTAGAATATCTGTGAACAAACAATATTTAACTATAGTAGCAGCAGTCAGCAAAGAACACACACAGTTTCCCAAATAAGCTCTCTCTCCTGTCAGTTCCACACCTGACTTTCAGTAGCATTAAAACACCTTTTATACAGAAAATGTCTGCACTAGCACACATTCAGCCCTCAGATTTCTGGACCTTTTTTCAGGCACCTGCCTCAAGAAACACAGAGACAGGCCTCCTTCTTAGAAGTTCCAGTAAAAAGGAACTTTCAGCTGGAATTCTCCCCTTTTCCAAAGGAGTAAATCAAGCCAGTGGAACCTCACTGCTGCCAAAATCTGTCTCCAGAAAGACCTGGACACCAAATGGCAACATACAGGTCAGACCACTATTGCGGTGGAGCAGGAGGCAGGTGTTGTAGAAGAAAACAGAAAGAGCAACAAAAAAACAAACAAACAAACAAAACCTGCCAGAAGCAGCTCTCTCTAAATACAAAGTAGCCCTGATAGTGGACTGGCCTGGTACAGGAGCTACCAGAGGTTAGTCATCCTATTTCGTTCAGATGACCTTACTGGGGTGATAAAAAGTGAGAAACTGCTTACCTGTGGCACACTGGCATTCGTAGCCATTCGGGTGATCGATACACTTTGCCCCATTCAGACATGGAGTACTGGAACAGTCATCAATATCAATCTGGCATACTGGTCCCGTAAAACCTTAAAAAGTGCAGCAATGACACAAGTCAAAGGACTATCCATGTCTTCCCCTACTATGAAAATGATACCCAAAGAGAGCTCAGTTAGGTTACTGGCAGGGCTTATACCAATGGGTCAGCAAACAGAAACTCAGGAGACCCGGAAGAGCCAAAAAAGCTTTGAAAAACAACAAAGTTAGAGGTTTTACACTTTCCAATTTTGAATTTTACTACAAAGATAGAGAATCAAGACAGTGTAGTACTGGCATAAGGACAAACATAACAAATCAATGGAACAGAATTAGAGTCCATAAATAAACATGTGTCTATGCTCAACTGATTTTCAAGAAAGATGCCAAGATCATTCAATGGGGAAAGAACAGTCATTTCTACAAATGGTACTGGGGCAACTGAACAGCATAAGGAAAAAGAATAAAGTTAGATCCTTACCTCATACCATATACAAAAATTAACTTAAAATGGATTAAAGACCTAGATGTATAATCAAGACTATAAAACCCCTTAGAAGAAAAGGCAGGGGTAAATATTTTTGACCTTGGATTTGGCAAGACATTCTCAGATATGACACCAAAAGTGCAAGCAACAAAACAGATAAATCAAGCTCTCTGAGCCCGGCAAGTAGACACCATGAGCAAAGCTCACCCTCCCGAGCTGAAAAAATTTATGAACAAGAAGTTATCATTGAAATTAAATGGTGGCAGACATGTCCAAGGAATATTGCGGGGATTTGATCCCTTTATGAATCTTGTGATAGATGAATGTGTGGAGATGGCAACTAGTGGGCAACAGAACAATATTGGAATGGTGGTAATACGAGGAAATAGTATCATCATGTTAGAAGCCTTGGAACGAGTATAAATAATGGCTGTTCAGCGGAGAAATCCATGTCACCTCACCAAACAGCCTGTTTTTACTGTGGTGTAAAAATCAGGTCATGTACATTTTTATATTCGACTTTATGTTAAATAAACTTGTAATAGTCAAAAATGCATTCTCTCAGATGTTCTGAATATAGTAATAGAATACTAGCTTTAATTCTAATTTTTTCTAATGTGAATTTTCCTGGTTGAGACTGATTTCAAAGAGTTTTATGCAATAAAATAGAAGAACCTTATTAAATGTGAAACATGGCAAAGAAAAAAACAGATAAATCAAACATCATTAAAGATGTTTGTGCTTCAAAGGACACTATCAAGACAGTGAAAAAACAACCCACAGAATGGGAGAAAATATTTGCAAATCATGTATCTGCTAAGGGACTTGTATCCGGAATATGTAAAGAATTCTTACAACTCGGGCCCAGCCTGTGGCTCACTCGGGAGAGTGCGGTGCTGATAACACCAAGGCCACGGGTTCGGATCCCATATAGGGATGGCCGGTTTGCTCACTGGGTGAGCGTGGTGCTGACAACACCAAGTCAAGGGTTAAGATCCCCTTACCGGTCATCTAAAAATAAAAAAAAAAAAGAATTCTTACAACTCAATAATAAGGCAAATAACCAACTAAACAGTGGGCAAAGATCTGAACCGACATTTCTCCAAAGAAAACATACAAATGACAAATAATCACATGAAAAGATATTCATCAACATTATTCATCAGGGCCGGCCCGGTGGCGCACTGCTACAGTGCGCCGCTTGGGAAGCACGGCGGCGCTCCCGCCGAGGGTTCGGATCCCACAT